TTTTTAACATTATTGTTACATTCAGTTTCCCTTTATTAATTGGTGTTTCAACTTCTAGAGATAAGAAATGAAAAGTACAATAGAAAGCTGGAAATGAAGGATGGATTTATAACACATACTCAAAAAGTAACGCTGAGTTTCAAGCCACAATTATACACAGGAGAGAAAAACTGGTAGGGTTCGGCCATACATTTATCATAATCGTGGGTTCTATGCTAAAAAAAATTTTCAATTACTTAGTTATGGTTGATAACATTTTCTATCAATTAAATTCAATTGCTGCCTCGGTTGTTTATTATTTTAAGACTATTATAATATTTAATGCAGAGTATTGTTAGCGTGTGTTGAGTATGAAGCAATTTAGTTTATTATTCAAAAAGGTTTTTTATAATCAGAAAACAACATTTGACAAAAACTTTGCAGCAGTAAATAAATTCCTGACAGGCATAGGTATTTAAATTTTCAGTTTAGCAATGAATTAATAAATAAATACCATACATTACATTTTAATATTGTTTTATTTGCGAATCATCAATTTTAATAAATATAATTAAATATTAGATATTAGAGGATTACTCAATCATCTTATTTAAAGAATTATTTTTTCAAAAATTGTCTAAACAAAATAACATAATATAATTATCTTTTTCAGAACTATTTCACGAAACTACCTTTAATTTAGATTCTATGAATATCCCAAATTCAATATCTGATTTTGGTTCTCTAGATGAAATTAATAGAAGACAATTTATTGAGACATTTAAAATGTTTAATAAAATATTAAGTCAATATCTCTCTTGCTTATACACTAATCTATACATGTCCAGGAACGCTGTACAAATTGTGTTTGATATGATGGAAACCGGTTTTTCTAAAGATATTGCTGTTTGTATTAAAACTTATGTTGAGCAAATGATTTGTAAAGGTCAATTTTATTTACTGCAGAATGTTTTAGTGGAAGGTGCTTCAGAACACAAACGCTTTAAATATTTTTCTAAACAAGGTTCTTAAATCGAACCAAAATAAAAAGTAATTGGTCAAAGATTCAATGATATAATGGTAAGAGGTTTATCAATTTTAAAACTTTACAACAACTCGGAATAGCACAGTTTAGTAACAGAGTAATTTTTAATTCTATTATAGATGAATTCAATTTTTGATAGAAATTTGTTTATTCCACAGTTCACGGGAACATTATATTTTGAATTGGGACTTATTTTAGGTGATAACTTTGGTTTACATATAATCACTAGTTTGGTTTAAAGTTTTTTTCTAATTTCTACTGTCGACTGTTAAACTCAATTTTATGAAGATATATCACTTTTTAGGTATACAGAATGATGTAGAAAAAAATTACCTGTCTTCTACAAATATAAAAAGAAAGTTTGTCTGGTTAGACAATAACAATTTTAGTTAATTAAGCAAGAAGGCATAGGCATTATGTACAAATGTTTGAGGAGTGTGGTAAATATGTTATGAGTTTCTATTTTCTTTGAAAGTATTAAATTACCATATTTCTTGTTTTAATTTTGGTCCAGATAAGAATAAACTATGCGTACTTTTAATGGACCATATTAGTGTTGGTAATGTTAGGCAATCTACTTTCGAAATGTTAATTTTAACTTTTGCTTACTTATTAGAGATTTTGTTCATTTAGGTTAACAGATTTGCGATTTGTATTTAATTACACCCAAAGTAATAGATGTTGTATTATCAAAACGACTTGAGGAATATAATTACACATTGCTAGGAACCTTAATGTGTGAAAAGAATTATTTGTATATAAAACACAGAAAAAATGTATCTAAATCAAAATTTCCTTTTCATTTCCTTATGCATTACCCTTCTAAGATAAAAAATATGGTCCTGTTGTACACTTTTGGTCAATGCGGTTTCGGGTTTGAATGTTTGATGCTTAATATATAATTTTTAAAAATCTGAAAGATCATGATCTGGAACATTGGAACAGGGAAAATTGTAGGTACTTCCGGTCAAAATTGATTATGAATACTTTATTTATTTTTGTTATTAGTCCGCAAGTAGCGATTCATTATATATATATATATATATATATTCATTATATTTAGTATCTATATTAACTGTGTTATTATTATATCATTATTATTTGTGTATTTTTGTTCTCGTGATGGCGGCAAAAGGAAATTTAAAATATTACTATATTGGAAATTGTAATACCTTTGTATGGTCACATTATAATTATTAAAAATTAAATAAATCAATTTTTCTTTGTTTTGTGGGGTCCAACATATATTTTGTCATTTTTAAATAAACGATTTATTTAACTAGGTATGTCTTCTTTTTCTAAGGTGATCTGGAACGCTTAATATTGTTTTAAGGATCTTATATACCGAACCTAGGGTATGATTATATTATAGGAAAATCGTGCTTCCGGTCAAACTTGACTATGAATACGTTTTCTACTTATTTGTATACGATTTTCCTATAGTATAATATTCATACGCTTTAGTGCATTTTTGATGGGTGGTGTAGATTTTCTAGACTATTCATATCCGTATTTTACGATACAGTGTTTAAAATATTGGTAAAAAAACGTATTTATAGTCAATTTTGACTGGAGGTACGATTTCTTATATTATAACCATACCCTATGTTTGACGTGGTAGCGTGTTATATGTTCGAAAATCATGCGTTTGAATGCAGTATGTTCGAACGTGTGTCAAGTGTGCGAAAGATTTTCTATTTGACAAATTACATGTTGTAAGGTCATATGTTCGAAGTTATTGATAAACGAAAATTACAAACAAATAACACTGATTGCGGTTTCAGAATTTTGGATTTCATTCAATCTTATCTTTATTGATTTCACGTGGAGAAAGCATTGCAGTTATTATTGAAGTTTATTTTTTGTCCGTCATTTATCAGTACGGTTTGATACATCATTCTAAAAATAACAATCGATCACAATTTTACTTGTAAATAATTATAAGTTCATATTTGATAAAAAAACGTCTGCGAAACGTGATCACAATAATATAAATCATTGAAAATGTATAAAACGATGTCGAGCAACATTTCAGACAATATTTAAGCATAGTGAATATAAAAATAAAATTGTTTCATTATTAACGAACATTATCTCACATCAGTTACAGTTAAATATATTGTAAATTTCTAATAAATAAAATAAAGAAATGTACTCAAAAGTCACAAGATTTATCAAAACAAATTTATCAGAACGAAATTGCGAATTTCAATATGGTATCTAGAACTAGTACAATTTCAGGACAACTTTTTGTTTTAAAAAATGTAATTGAAGGAGATAATAAATGTATGATTTTCACAAAAGTTCAGAATTACATATATTTGAGGGTATCAAATTTTAGGCTCGCTGATGGAACATTCAAGGCTTGTCCTGGCATTTTTAAAAAAACTTGCCAAGAACAACAAATATTGCTGAATTATGGCACGATCAACTTAATAGCTAGGAACGATAATATATCAATAACCATAACATTAATAAGCTAACCAAATTATTTAAAAATGTATACAGATTAGTATTCATAAAACCAGAAGTTTACAAATTGATGAGACTGCTCCGAAAAATCCAGAATGAAACTGAAAATTCTATAGAGAGAATAATTTAAGGCTGAACATATCCGAAAAGAAAAACATGCAACGAACAAAGAATTGCAAATTTAGTTCTCCAACTAAAAAATCCAAACTTCAATATTATTTAGTTTCTACGAAGAATATCATACAATTTAAGTTTGTAGTTTTTTTATTTTAGCATTTACATATTTTATTAACGACTTATTTATTTAACGAATTTTTGATATCTTAACTAATAAATATATTTTGTTTATATAGAGGATCGAATTAACGAATTTACATATCATAGTACATTCCGTGTTGTTTAGGCGTTTGATATAGTAGTATGCGTTCCAGATCACCTTGAAAAGAGCGGGCATAGTATTTTACAAATACGACAAAACATCTTACTTCACCAAAGAAAGAAAAATTATTTATTTTAATTTTAATAATTAGAATGTGACCGTACAAAGGTATAACGATTTACAATATTATTACTTTTACTTGAGAACAATAAATAAAAAAAATAATTATAATATAATAACATAGAAAATATAGGTATAAAATTATCGTTTCTTACTGATTGATATTGTATATTTTGATAGGGGTTTAGTTTTCCTACTTGGGTACCTACTGGGCATTTGCAGCTACATAACAATGCAGTGCTGTATATTATTTTGTTTTAATGCTAACATCTCACTTAAATATCTCCCAAACAAATGTAGTTGAAGTCAAAACATTTTGAAAGTTGAAGAAAAGTATAGCAAGTATTAAACAAATGTATTCGAAAACTGAACCTTGACGCAAACAAAAATCTACTAATTGAAAATGCAGTTATAGTAAAAAAAAATCACTTCTCCCAAAACATTTAGTAAGTCGTAAACAAATACATACAAAAATAGGATTGTTACGAGAACAAAAAAAAAAATAAAAATCATTCTACCGCGTATGTGTGCTGTTTTTGAAGATCAAAAGAAACATTGATAACGAAATAAATGTTATTGCATTAAACGATTACTGTAAAACAATTTCAGTGAAAATATACATAACATGTTAATAGTGACCGGAGGTACGATTTTCTTATAGTAAAATAATATTCTAGCGTATATATTTAAAGGGAGTATCTATATTCTAGAATTATGTTACTAGTGAGTGGTATGATTATCCTAGATAAATTGTACACTCATTGTAAGATTTTATAATTTATATTTATCCTAGGATTTTGTTACCTGTGAGTGATGGGATTATCCTAGGAATGATATACCTCCGTTATTTAACTTAAGAAGCTTGATATATCTTAAAATTTTGATACAGGAGGTATGATAATCATAAGATTACCTTGCTGTGGGAGGCATGATAATCATAAGATAACCATGCTGTGGGAGGTATGATAATCCTGCAGTATGATTTTCCTGTTACGTCGGTGTCAGTTATTTTGGCCGAATGGGTATCCAGACTTGCGTATCTGGTTTATAATTGTTGTTCGCGATGATGTAAAATTGTCCAGCTTCCTTAGAATCATTATCGTTTGCATATTTTTGACTTTGAGTTGTCATTTGCAGGTTTTTATTACTAGCCTGTGATAAACTCGTTTGTATGCATTGGTCTATTGTCTTTGGACGTTGATCGATCAATTCAGTCGTTTGCTGGACTTTAATAGATTTCTGTGATGGATATTTATTAGTTATTTTTTGATGCTGATCAATATTCATTGATGGATATTGATCAGTTGTTTTGACGTATTGATTAGATGAGGTCTTCGGATATTGGTTAGGTGTGGTATTTAGGCAATGATTAGTTGATGTTTTTGGGCATTGATCAGTCGATTCAGTCATTTGCTGGAATTGATTAACAGTCTGCGATGAATTGGTTGATTGGTACTGATTCGCAGTTTGTGGATTTTGATTAATAATTCTCTTACATTGATCGATATTTTGACCATGCTGGGAATTATTGTTGATTTTTTCCGGTTGATTTAATGTTTCTTGACATTGCTCCTTCTTTACGTTGATTTGAACGTCCTTTTTTAATAATGTTATCCATTCCGGAATCGGCTGAGAGTGAAGAAACGAGCAAATATCATTTTCCTTGCATACGTTCAATTTCATTGTATTTGTAGATTTAACAGCGATGCCGTTATTGTCGACGTCACCATTTTTTGAACAGGAATTTATCTTCTTCGGACAATCGCTATTATTGTTATTTTCGTTTAATTTATTTTTCTGTACATTTTCTATTGTCATCGGACACACGTTTAATGATTTAACTTCTTCTTCTTTATATTTTAAAAAACTTAACAACTCACCCAAAGATATTTTAACGTAATCAATGTGCTGTGACGGTCTTGTGATTTCCGTGTTAGTAGCTTCGTTCTTTATTAATTTGCAATTACATCCATTCAAATTATTGCACGTGTTTTTGCATACATTTTTGTTATTACTCGGATCTACTATCGGAATTTCATTTATTGATTTTTGAGGTTGTGTACTGCAGACGAGATTGTTCTTACATTCGTTTTGAAATTTAATATTTTCTGTAATTAAATCATGTTCTTTATTATTTTCAATTTTAACATTTGATTTGTTTTGTGCGTGTTCGACAGACTTATTGGAAATTAATGTTTTCAATGTCTTTTCTAATTTTGACAAATAATCTAAAATTTCACATTTCTCGTTTTTCTGCGTCGTAAAATGTTTGTTTAAAACAGACTCTATATTGTTAGAAAAACAAGCTAAAACATTTTCCGTGATAGTTTTTTCATTTTCATTAACCGAGTTCAAATCGATTTTTGGTGTATTCGTATTTTCGGATACACTTGTAGATTCAAATTTTGTATTGGATTCAGTTTTAAGTTTTGAACCCGATATTTTTTTTTTCTGTGATTTTTTACTCGGATTGAAACTTGGTATCTTTTGAACTTCTGTTTTTATTTCATCATTATTAGATTTAATAATAGTACTTTGTGATGGCGGTAAATTCGATTCGTGTACTACATTGTTGTCTAATAACTTTAAGCAGTCTGAAGTTACTGTATGGTCGTTTGATTTTGTTTTAGATATTTGCTCATTTTCCTTTTTTTCATTACATTTTTGTTCTTCGATCATTGACGACAGACGAGATACCTAAAACAATAAAATTAAAATAATAAATTAGTTATTACAATATGTTTTTCACAAAATATCGGTGTACTGTATCAATTTACTTCTTTTGAAATCTTTTGTATCGATTCATTGAATGTCTCTAGACGTTCAAATACATCTTTTTCGTTATCGTTGTTTGAACTTACATACGGAATTGTGGGAGTTTGGTTTTTATTTTTTGTTTGTTCGTGTAATAATCCTATTTTTGTTTGTATTTGTTTAAGACTTTCTAAATGTTCCTTCAAGTTATAAAATTGTTTTACTTTAACTGCTTTTTGAATTAGTATTGGCGTATTGATAAATGTATTGCTAACTTCTTCGTTAGAATTTTTGAATTGAACGGTTTTGTCGCATAATTCATTCACCGGTGTGCTCTTAAATAACCACATTTCAATAATATGTCGTGTTTTAATAAC